TATGTAATGTCGTTCCACTTAAAGCTAATTGTCAAGTTGAGGTAATTTTCTTTCTTTAGATTCTCAAATTATTTTTCAAAAGATACAAAATTAAAATCAGTAACAAAAAACCTGTTCAGATTCAATGATTTGTTTACTAGGATTCGCGTTTTGTTAATTACAGTTGACTGCACTGCTTTACAATTTAGAAGAAAAAAAATCCTGTTATTTTGCAGAAATTTGCATTTCTTTTGGTCTAAGTGCCATCCTTATACACACTTTGGTGACTGCCATCCATCACAGGCTTTTTGTCACTTGTAATTTATTTTAATTGGATATGTTATAGTCCCTGTCAACTTCTCCGTGTCTTCATTCTGTCACCGGGAAATGTCCTGCCAATTCTTCTTTGATTAACACAGCTGGGTAACAGTTGGTTAACACAGTTGGTTAACACAGCTTGGTAACAGTTGGTTAACATAGCTGGTTAACACAGCTGAGCAACAGTTGGTCAACAGAGCTGGGTAACCGTTGGTTAACACAGCTGGCCAACAGCTGGTCAATAGAGCTGGGTAACAGTTGGTTAACACAGCTGGCCAACAGCTGGTCAATAGAGCTGGGTAACAGTTGGTTAACACAGCTGGCCAACAGTTGGTTAACACAGCTGAGCAACAGTTGGTCAACAGAGCTGGGTAACAGTTGGTTAACACAGCTGGCCAACAGCTGGTTAACACAGCTGGATAACAGTTCCTTTTTCTGAAGATGTGCCATACCAGGAAAATTTAGACATTTTCATCATTTGGATAATTTCACCGAACACAACAAACTAGGGGAGGGGAGATTTACTGGAATTAGTGAATACTGGTGAACCTTAGTTTTTATTCGTTAAAAAACAAGACTGTATAATATCTACTGAATACTCTGTTGATTTCTGTAAAATATGTAAACGAAATATCAGTAGGCAAGGTATCTGTGAAATATGTCATTACTGCTTTTATGTAAAATAAAGTTGGTCTGTGATTAGACTTTTTTAAGCTCTATTTTCATCAAAGGGGTTAACAGGGCCATATGTATGTTTAACCATGATGTCTAATTTATATTCCAGTGTCCAGATGTTTATATGACATTTAAATTTTGCATCTGAAATTTACAATATTTATCTGATAGAAAAAAATGACTTTTCAATCACAATAAGTGTAAAAGTACAAATAAATGTCTTCAAGTCAATTTCATTGATGGTTTCAATTATCGGTACATCATTAATCGATATTAAAAGCATTGAGTACAGGCAGTCGTTTAGCTAAATATTAAATAAGATTCTTCAGACACAACTGTTCATTGATTTTTAGGTTTGCTTTTGTTTAGATTTTTTTTATTGTTATTGAATATTGTGATAACATTGGTTAACCTGGGCTTTTCACATATTTATCCTTTGTGGGTTTGTTTGTAGTAAATACCAGGGACAGAAAAATGTGACTCAAGTTCAGACCACCAATGTGTATGGTTGTCCAATCCAGAATCACATAACACTAGTATATTGTCTAAAAAACATCAAGACACTTTCGATGTTAGGCCAAACAAAACAAGTGTTGAAAATGTACACAGGTCTGCATACTGAACTTGAGCAAAATCTGAGAATATCAAAATTTTGACCAACCAATTGCTATTTAATGGCAGCCAACTTGTCTAAACAGGAAATGAGAGTTGCATCTGTGTCTGCTTTACCATTATACACCCACATAACAAATTTTAGCAAAATCAAACAGTACCTACATTTTGACCAATCAGAAGCAAAGGTTCCCATGTTTGCTGTCCAATCAGGAAAAGAAATGCATTCTGCACATGCACACAGGCATATCAATTCTCATTTCAAGTTTCATTAGTGTTTGGCTAATAGTCTGATATTATGTCCAGAAACGATTTAGCTTTAGAAAAATGACAAAGGAAAAGCTGCAAAAGCAATATGTCCCCAATTTCATTTTGCGGACTAAATCAGAAATGTAGCAAAAACATAAATCCCAACTTTGTTTAGCGAAAAATAATTGTTTGAGTTTTGAAAATGAATGTTAATACCTGGCTTTTTCACATATTTGTTCCTTGTGAACCTGTTTGTAGTAAATACCAGGGATAGAAAGTTGTGACTGAAGTTCAGGCAACTATCGTTAGTTGTCTGATCCAGAATCACAAAACAGATCATCATCAATCAAGGAATATAAGATCATTTATTTCAAAAAGTATTAGTTACTTGTAGGCTGTTAGTTAGCTTTAATAAAAGGGCTCTTTTTATTGGGTTTCAGTAAAACATTTAACCCATTAACTCATTCACCCCTGAAGACACATTTGAATTCTTCCAATTCAAAGGTTGGAATAGTTCATTGTGAAATTTCAGGGATGAATGAGTTAAAAGTTAACCATGACTGAAATTGTAAACCTTGTTTTTCATGATTGTTTTGGCAGGTTTGACAGTGCCTTGATGCAAGAAGGTCATTGTGTCTTATTTGGCCTGAAGTGTCGAAAAGAAACCTTAAAGAATTGATACATATCAAAAGCACCTAAAGGGTTCCAATTGGCAAAGTGTTATATAAATATTCAACAATAAGTGTAAATTTGAGATTTTTCTCGTTGTTGAAAGATATGCATGCTAATGTTATGGCAATTATTATTAAAAAGAAAGTTATGTTTGTAGCAAACACAAGGAATATGAAATCTGTGATAAAGTTTGGACTGTCTTATATCGTATTTGGAGACAAGAATGCAGAACAGACATTAGAGTACTTTTCATTTGGTTAGAAAAAGTACTTTTGAATTAGAAAGGAAATTATGTTATAATTGCCTGGTCTTTTCACATGCTTTTCCGTTGTGGAATTGCTTGCAGTAAATGCCAGGAATATTAAAAACTGTGAAAAAGTTTGGTGTGTTTTTATATAGACATCCTAATCCAGAATCACAGAACAAGTCTTTTGTTTTTGGTGCAAGAAGTGAAACTTATTTATAGGGGTGAATGTGTGGTTAAGGCCTCTGACTGTCTATAATCACCTGTGAGTCACAGGTTAGAGTCCTACATGGGCCAGGTACTGGATGTAGGTCAATGGTCTTTCTCCAGGTACTCTGGTTTTTCTTCCATAATCAAAACCTGGCACGTCCTTAAATGACCCATAACTGTGACAAACTTTGAAAGAAGAACTGATGTAATAAGTGTGTGCAGTTCATTTAGAAGTTGGAAGTCCCCTTTGCAAAACTCCGAACTTCACTTGCAACACTATCACACTATCAGGGTTTATAGTTAATTTTGCTCAAGATAATACATATATATATATGTACTGTAGATTATGATCAGTACAAAAATGCTATTGAATATAAATTGTTCTATCTTCAGCATCTTATCTCTCTTTGAATGAATCATATAGATGAAATTTAAAAAAAGCTATTCAATTTCAAAGACTTTTAAACTTGGATCAATCGTTGCATTGAATGGCCGATATATAGCTCCACAAGCATGGACCAGCCAATTCTGAAGCAGCAATGCAGCCCCCCCCCCCCCCCCCCCCCCCCCCCCCCCCCNACCCATTTTATGTCTCTGACAACTGTTGCAACTATCATATCAGGGAAATATTTGGAAAATGGATGTTTGGTTGTGAGGCGTAGAACAAAAAGATATAATAAGACATGGGTCTTCGGGGAGCTGATACGGGGTCTGAAACGGAAGCCCTGGCTGTGTATATTCCCGCCAAAGTGGACAACTTGTCTATTTGTATTGAAATTAATTCCGTCTTTGTCTTTAATAATGCACTATTGCTGTAAGTACTTGCTATAAATACGATTCCCTCTGGCATACTATCTAATGCTTCCAATTCAAGGGGATGGAACCATCAATGCTTTCTTAGTCGTGAGTGTGATGCAGAACACATCTTGCCAATAGTTGTTGCAAACATCTTTTTATCCCCCAATCTTGGATAAACTTGATTGTGTTGGGTTTTTTTCTACAAGAGAGAGGTATTTGTAGGTCAACACTTATGGCTTGGTTGATCAGATATAGGTCTGATCCTGGGGGGTAGGACTGAGGAAATGGAATGTAGATATAGGTCTGATCCAGGGGGGTAGGACTGAGGAAATAGAATGTAGATATAGGTCTGATCCCGGGGGGTAGGACTGAGGAAATGGAATGTAGATATAGGTCTGATCCGGGGGGTAGGACTGAGAAAATGGAACGATCAGCATTTCTACAGAACTTGGGTAACAACTCATTCACCCCTGAAGACACAATTGAACTCTCCCAATTCAAAGGTTGAAATATATATATAGTTCATTATGAAATTTTAGGGGTAAATGACCAGAATTGTGTAACTTATGTTTCGGACACATGTTGCTTTGTTTGAAAAATCAGGCCATCTTCAGTCATCCTCTGCCCAAGAGGATATGATAGAGACACAAAATGATCTGCTTCCCCTAATGCTATAATTATTGGATATTTCTGCTTTTTCTCTCTGTCTCTCTTTCATATTTGAAATGAAAGAAAATGGAGTCAGAACATTCAATAAGCTGATTGGATCAGATGATATATTCGGTGACCATCCTATGAGACAATTGTCTCCACAAGTGCACACCCCTCTTCATAATATCGTCATTGTTATCTGTTATTAAAACAGACCATTAAATCCCTTCAATTATATTGTCGTAGAACAGTCTTAAAATGCTGCATTATGATTACAGTTCTGTTGGCCAACTGAGTTTGTATCAATATTATCAGGTGTTGGGTTTTCCAGAATTTTCATATTTCAAGATACTGTAAAATTTTATATGATATTGTATTCCTAGAAGTTCTGTGCATTTAAAATGCTTTATATGGCAAATACAATATACTGGTAACTATTACAGAAGTCGTTTCTGAATGTTGAATAAAACTGGATGCAATGTCATGATAGAAGAATTGAAAATGAAGCTTCTGTTTTGTCCTGTGTTAGATATTTTTTAGATGGAATCATAGTTCTAGCCATACTTATGATTGTTTTATTTTCTGTTTCTAGGGGACCCTTCCAACAACCCAGGAAGTACCGGAGACCCATACAAGTCCCTTTTTGTTGCAAGAATTGTAAGTTTCTAAATATCTTTTCAAATATGCTTGAATGTACATCTTTTTTGCTCTTGTAGCTATGCTAAAAAGTTCCTCAACCTAAATCCTTTTCTGGTATCCAAGTTGGATGTCATATTGAGCTGGACATATTTCTGCTTTCAAAGCACCTTTTCCAAGCGAAATTTCAACTTGCATAGATTAATCTGTCAACGTTTATCGCTTAACTTCGCAAATCATTGATTGCATGATTATTATGTTTGGAGTAATAGGCTTTGAGGAATTTTTGTAAGAGTGGCATTTTTTGTCTTGCAGACTTTTCTTTGCGTTACTCAGATTACTAAAGTTGTCTCTTCATTCAATCATTTTACCAGAAAACATAAATTCAGAAAATGTTTTTGGCATTTAAAATGCAATCGGTCACCAAAAAGTGTAATTTTGGACTGCTCAAGATTGTGCAGAAATTTGTGTGTTACTTTAAATTGTCAAATTGTCTGGACAATGAGCTGAATGTCATGGTATTTTCACGAATTATTCCTGAACTTTTTTGTCTCGTGATTTATAGGTGTTTCATTTCGGGTCTTGGTTCTTATAATGGTATAAGGGGAGACAACCTTAGTATATGTGATGTTTATATTGCAATATATATGGCTGGGCCTTCTATACAAATCCTAGAGTATTGGATTGATTTTTACATTGAAATATGTTGAAAACTAATTGCATTTATCTTTAATGAGATAATCATGTCTTACCTGTATGACCTTGAAGGCCAAGCCAAACAGTGTATTGTAATGACATCCTTATGTATTTTGTTCTTATCAAATTCTTCATTTTTGTTTTAATCTGCATGGGTATCCATACTTTTTATGAAAGTTTACCTTAATAATTTTGAAACCATCAAACAACATGTGTTTTGTTGGATTCTTTAGTGTCAGTATCCTTTGCTTAAGAAATAGAAATTAGTCTTCCCTTCAAAATGTCTTTATGCTTAAGCTGAGGAACAGCAATATAGGACTGACACACATGTTATGATTAAAACATAACATTGGGCTAAGTTTTCAAATTTTGGCAATATTTTCTTCTATGTTATACCATAATATGGTCCCATTTCATCTAAAAAAATGGGGTCATATGATGTTGTAATAGTTTCAAACTTGGAAAGGTCATACATGGTCTGGCTGTTCCATGGCTATGAAGCTTGATGTCAACGGGGGCGTTCTAGGAAATGCCTTTACAATTTTGAGGGGGGGGGACCTTTACACTGGCATGGTTCCTTATATAGTTCAAAATGTAGTCTTTGAGTTATGTGTCAATGACTAATGTGCGGTCACTGCTCGGATAAATCTAGATAAGGAAAAAAAACAAGGCCAATGCTTTCGGTCAGTTCCCCTTGAAGACACATTTGAACTCTGCCAATTCAAAGGTTGGAATAGTTCATTATGAAATTTCAGGGGTAAATGAGTTAAACCAAGAAAAGCATGATCATGACACTTCTTGACAAGACCTGGACACAAAGGAAGGGAAACAACTCCCATATTGTTGTTCAATAGGAAACACCTTTATACAAGATGGTAGATTACATTTGTCATAACCTTACTAAGAATATTGATTTTCTGTGAAACCACAAGTATTTTGTGGAATTTTAAGGTGAAATTGATCAAACGATCACATGTCATTGATTTCAATTGATGCTGTCCGAGAAAACATTGAATTAATTATTATCTGTTTCGTATGCTATGGTGGTTTTGATTGTGGCACTTGAAGGTTCCTATATATTTCAAACTTCCAAGGAATGCTAAAAACATGGATTTCCTGAACTTATTGGCACTTTTAAAATTGAGTTCTCAGCATTCTCCAAGATAAGTTTTGTAAAAATAAATCTCATTGCATTAAGAACAATTGAATCCAATTAAATGTCACATTGCTTAATATCACTATCCAGTTAATATAGTAATTCCTCTTTATATATTTTAATACATTTTTGAAAGCCTGTAATTTAGAGCATTAAACATCTCTTGTTAAACAGTTTTCTGGGTCATTCAGTCGGAATGGTAGATTCTGATATTCTTGTTTGTGAAAATGTTTTAATTTGGCATTGATGGACTGCCTGATTCCAGCTTTAATGATATTTTCACTTCTGTATTAGCAAGGATTCTGGCGTTAAAACCTATCAATATTTCTAGAACAATTTATGATGTTGACCTAGATTCTATTTAAATGTGAATTCATATTATTGACAAGTGGGGTTCTATTGATAGGATTTTTTTTTATCCATGCATCAAGCTATGAATATAATAATCCCAACATTTTTGGCTTCTATTGACAATAGGAGACAGGTTTAAATCTAATACGTGTTACACTGGTAACTGTAAACAATGATGGCCTGCCTATCTGACAGAGGTGGCAACATTGTGTTAGCTAACAGGAGCCTGTATTGATCTTAGTCAAGGCCTACGTCACAACGTTTAGTTCTAGCAAGCTTTATTTTGTTTTCGTATTTTACATAAAAAAATAAATTTTCAATGATTTTTTCTTGATTAGCAAATTACATACATCAGTTTAAATGGAAAACAAGAAACGAGAGTTCAGAATTATGTAGTGTAAAGGTTTTTAATAAAAAATCCAGGAGGATTTGATTTTCTGTGAAGCTGACCGAGCGTTTGTTGGCGTGGGGAGAGACGGAGACGACAAGACCACCTACTGTCACGAGGCTGGTTATAGCTGACATTTTCGGCTTGATCAGTGCACTGTATTAATCCCTAATAAACATACAGGCTACAACAGTGTTAGGCTGATTTTATAGCTCTCTGTTAATTCAATGTTGCTGTAATTAATATCATAATTGATAAAATATTCTAAAGCTTCTCAACTCATCACCGCTTGTAATTGATTCCCGGCTCTGTTTCTCCGTTCTCCTTTGTGATATATCTATATTTGTTTTGAGGACTTTTATTATTTAACCGGATGTCGTTAATCAAATGGTTGGTTATATGATAGGATATCTTTATAGCGAATGGAATAACAAGAATTGTAATGAACAAGCCCCAGTTTCACAATGTACATGTTTCTCTACTTGAGGAAAATCTTAAAAGCTTTTTATGCCACCTTCACCCCATCCCCCTAAAAATGAAAGGGAGGGGGAGTCATATTGTTTTACCCATGTCCCTCCCGTCCCCTCCGAATGCACTGTCACAGCTCGACCAACTTCATTTCGTAACAGATTTATATCAAAGTTTATTCAAAAGTTAAGTATGAGAATACCTCTAATGAGGTCAATGCCAAGGTCACTGTTACCTTTCAAAGGTCAATCATTGAATTTTTGACAACAGATTCATTGTCATCAGTTGACCGACTTTAGGGTCAGGGGGCATTAAATATCTTACAGACGTTTTGTTGTTCAATTGGAAGGCACTGCTTGGCTTAATTGTGAATCTTCAGGAAAGTGTCTTAGCTTCAGAAGTGTTGAAGGGCTAAGAGAGGATTGACCATCATTCGGATGGCTGTCTGGCTAAGTGGATAGCACAGTTGCCTTTCGCAAAGACAGCCGTTGTTTGGTTTCCCTATTGGATGTTAAAATATATTTGATCATCTAACTGACCACTAGGTTTTCTCTGGGTACTGTAATACGGTTACCTGTTATATTAAGACCTTCTGCAAGCCTCTGACCTATCCAACAAATGATTGATATAAGTTGGAAAAAAATGTTTCATAATTGGTATATAAATAAAGTTCATATTTGAATGATTGACCCGTGATGACATCACTGTGAAACCCCGAGAGGACTCCAACCCAGAACATTGTTTGCTGTGCTATGGAGCATATGTATAGTATTTAAAACTTATACTTAATATTCTATAAAAAGTATGTCATTTGCACAAATTCCAGGTTAATTTTAGTTGTTTATATTAACCATGTTTAAACCTTCGTGGTAATAGGAAATGAAAGGTTTTAAGCCCATTAAGAGCTCAATGAAAATTTCCCAATGTTTGTAGAATCATCGGGACTCTAAAATGTATGTGTGATCCCTGAAGAGTAAACAATGTGCCAGACAGCGGAGTAATTACGGGGATAATGCAGTTGTTGTGGATATGATAACATCCATTGGTTATTCTGATGGCGGTCCTGTGATGGGGTATCAGCGTAACCATCTCGAATATTGATTTGATACGCTTGACTGGTGCCGTTTCCATTTCTACCCAGTCACTGGAGAGAGATGTCATGAATAAGCAACAAAGTTGATCGTTTGTAAAGCATCCCTTATCCTCCTATCGATTCGCTTCACTGATCACACCGTGGTTATTATCGTCATATTGAAATTAAGTGTCTAGGTTGGCACGTGTTTGTATATATACAGAATTATGTAAATTTTTCATGCAGCTTCCACGGCTTTTATGCATTATGTAGGTCACCATTTAATGCGGAGGAGTTGACAGCTTTCAGAAGTCAAAATTCTAAGGATATGTCACTCTGTAGATGATTTTCATACTTAATTTTACTATTTAGTCGGATAACTTGTCCAGTCTAAACAGTGGTTGCTTTAGAAAGTTTCACAGTGTATTTTAAAGTTTCAATGAAGAAAGCATATTTTCGGTTTACATTACCAAAGAAGTCTCACTTCAAAACAAGCTGGTATCTGACACAGAACAACTTTGATATCTATGAACAAGAAACTTTCAGTCTACCTAGCTGTATAAATGGGAAGCTAGGCAGACTAGTTTGTTACTGTTGTGTCCTTGATCAAAGGGGTGCAGTACGTACCACATTCACAATTTTCCAAGAAGGCTGGGGTTCGCTTCCTGATGGGACATGGAAATAGAAGGGGTCATCTGTATTAATCATCATGTCAGGACCATCATGATTAATACACATGAGTTTGATGAACTTTTTTCATCAACGTTGTAAAATGAATATCAACCTTTACCAGGATTGATCCTGTCTACTAAGCTAAGTAAACATGAAGCTTTAGGGTAGACTAGACCTGACATAAAACCGTAGTATTCTCTGGTGGTAATGGCCACTGC